TTCATTAGGTTTTGTCATGTTTTCTCGTGTTTAATTTAGCGGATTTCTCGCTGTGACGATGTGTTCGAGTTGCTTTGAAGTAAAATCAAATTCCGTGGCATTATTTGAAAAATTCTACTAATTCTCTACGCAAATGCGGGTTACTAACAACTTCTCGGTCAGAAACGCTGGAAATTAGGATACATCCGTCAACAGACATTGGTGATAAGTCCTCCTGGTGCACGCAGTGTGACACATTTAGTGTGCGTTTAGTGACACATTTCTGTGCGTAGCACTATGCCGAACCATTCAGTGCAAAATGTGTATCGCTATTTAGACAATGTCACCAGCAATTCTCTGAGTGATAGCTGCGTCCCATCTCAGCGCCATAAAGGACTGCAGTCTGCAGACCGGCAGATCCGAGCCGCGGGTTTACTTTGCTCAAAAACTGAGCTCATTTGCTCAAAATTAGCGAGATTTTTGCGTTCAGGCTTGGCTTCCTGCTGCTTGGATCGTTCCGACTCAAAAAGCTGGAGTTCATCGGATCAAAAGTAAAACTTTTTGAGTGTTGGTAACAAGTGTCACTTAAAAAGGCAAAGCTTTTTGAACGAAGCTAACTAGTCGCGCCACGAATACAACGTGCTGGCTTTTTCTAGATTATGGCTGGAACGGTTGTAAGAATAGCCAATGCGCAGAAAAAATAAAATTTTCGAGCAATTGGTGAGTGCAACCTAAATTAGTATGTACTAAGTTCAAGAGAAAGATAGAGAGGACTGGTGTCATGATTGGAGTTTAAATTGGAGAGTTTTATGGTGAATACGTGGATATTTTCCCTATATTCTAGTGGCTGGGAAAGAGATGCACTTGTTACAGAGTTAGTTGATGAGTCATTGACATAGGATTCATTGAAAATTTTTCAATTAATTAAATTCAATTGAGGATAATCAATTGAGGATAAAAATTTTGGATTCATGCGCCGGCTGTGGCTGCAAACGGATGTGCGCTGCTCCGTCAATCCTTATTCCTTTGTTTGCAACTTAGGCCAGTGTCATATCCGATCATCGTGAATCTTTAAACAGCCGATTGACAAGATGACTTTCTTGTGTGGATCGTTTTACAGTGAATATACAGTGTTTAAATGATCATGTCTGAGGATTACAGTGTCTAAATGATCACTATGCACGAGTGCAGTTTCGTCTTCCGGCTCGTTTTTTTCCACCCTTGGCTATCAACACCCTACTTGGCTGATCCAAACCCTGTGATGCTAGTCTTCGTTCGACCAAGATTCCACGGATTTTTTAAGTAATCGTCTCGACGTTCAACATACAGGTCTTCTAGCTGCTTTTTAGAGGTCTGATACTGCTATTTCATAATCTGTAACGTGAGTTGAATCAGGCTGATAGTGATATCCATGGCACCATTAGCCTACTCGACAATGCAGCTGCTTGGCCTGCGGCCAGCCGCTGCAACCCTCGATCCATCCGTCCGTCAACGAGTCGATTTGCTCGTTGCTACTCCCGCCCCTCGTCTGTCTTATCGCGGATGCCGTGCCGGTCGTAACAGGCGTACTGCCGCCATGTATCGGGTTGCGTGCAACGGTGGTGCGTTTGTGATAATTGGCAATCGGCCGTTGCCACGACNATATTAAAATATTCTGGATAAAAATACTAAGGATTGCTGAAAGGTTGCCGCAAAAATTGCTGTTTATCAAGCGTTATTTTCTCTGCAAATTCGCTGTTATGATTTATATTCATTCCCGTTACTTCTTGCATAATTCTTTACATAGTCAGTTCTTCATCAGAATTCATACAAGACCGTAGTCTTATCAAGTAGTTCAGTTAAACTGCCGTTGAATAATTTAAGTTGAGAGTTTAGATTCGTGGCTGGCTTAGCAAAGAGTCAACTAACGGCTGGAACGTGAGATAAGGCTTCTCCTTGAGTTGGGTCAATGTTGGCCAGAAAATCTACTGCAGAATACTTCGAGAGAAATTATTACAGTTACTTCCTACGTATGTATTCACACAGTCCTCCTGTGTAGGCCGCCATAGGATCAACCATCGCTGGTATTGCGCCCACGGCTTTTTATAGGTCGTGTATGTCTTTGTGGGCCTGTGTAGGTGTGTGTAAGCCTATGTAGGTCTGATGCTGTGTTTTCTGCATTGGCTCCTGCGATGCTTATATTGCACGGAACGGTAATTTCTCTCAGCCTTCGGTTCTTGTTCTTTATCACTTTACATCATTTATTACTTGGTTATTCATAAAACCTTGCCACGATGTATCATGTTATAAACCATGTCACGATGTGTCAGGTTGTCTTTTAACTTCTAACAAAGAACATACTTCATTTCGTCTTTTAAATAGCCAGATAAGAATTTAAAAGTTTTTGGGTAATGAAAACAGTAATTTTAATTGTTTTATTAATTCAAATGTACATCAAACATCATAGATATTGCATCGAACATTAATATAAAAACTTCTAGCACAAAGGGTTGATATGAACGTCGAAACAGCCTTTGTATATCAGGGTGAATACACTAATTGACATAAATACACATTATTTGTTGTAAACAATAATACACTAATTGACATAACCACACAATACTTGTTATAAACAATAATATACTAATTGACACAACCACACAATATTTGTTGTAAACAATAATACACTAATCGTATTTTTCTAACTCACAACATGTACGTAACTGGGGTCACCATCTAGATATCGGTAAAAATGTCACTATAGGTTCAAGTAGCTTCCAACCAACACTTTGAAATAACGACGTTTATAATGGAAATTTGAATAACATTGAAGTGCATTTGAAACATATTCCCTGTATTCCAAGCTCAATAAAACTTTTCACATTAATATAAAATAACTTCAATTGGTTTCCCTCATTTCCACCGTATTATATACACGGCAATTTTTCACCATAAAACTGCTAGGTATCACAAATACACACGGCGAAGTTGCTTGGGTAATTGTACATCAGCAGGACCCTGGTGTAGTTAATTAGTTGGGTACTCATTCAGTACGCACAATTGGGTTCATTTAAAAATAAATAATATTCAATCATTAAAGATACAATTGTGTCAATTTGTTTATTTATATTACAATTGTGTCAATTTGTTTATTTATTTATCAAGTGTATCAATTTCTTTATTTATTATTCGTTTATTTGTGTGCGTTCATGGGTCACGAAAAGTAAGGGACCGAGGAATTCAATTGTATAAACTTTATTTGAGAACTTTGATCAATTTACCGAATTCATCTTAGCATGGAAAATCGAAGTGCTTCGTCTCTATTGAAGTTTGGAGAATCGAGTTCCGTTCCTCACCAGCTGTAACGACTTGAAGTCTAACACTTAACCACTTTTACATCAAGTTGGACGATAGTATGCGATATGTTGTCGAACTTCTCACGGAACATTTCGAATAAGTTCAATAGAAGTTCGATGAGGGCAAGACTAGAATGAAATCAATCCTAATGAGGGATGGTTTTTGGAATGAAGTTGTTGCACTAACCTATTCATATTCACGATCTCCAAGACGTCTCTCAGTGGGTAAAATTTCAAACGATTGAGGGAAATTTTGTTTTATCTACTTTATTTTTCATCAGCACCTGTTCAGTAAGTAGGTCTTGGAAACTCACATTTAATTTGGTTGCCACGACCAACTTCTGCAGCTAAATGATCAAGGTTGGGCGTTAATTCCGCTAGGCACTTGGCAGGCGAGAAGTGAGTTTAAACTCGCTTTTCGCAAGGCGCAAGAGTTAGAAATTTACGTCACTTGTACATTCGCAAGCCGATGATCGAAAGCACCGAGTAATTAGACCATTAATTGTGTGCAAATGTCTTCCCTTTATTTTGAGGAAATTGGTGGATAGTGAACTGCATCGCGGCTAAATATTAGACTGGCTGTGCGAGAGTTTCTAGTAATTTTATAATTTAAGTCAGTGAAATTAATTTAGCAACGATAGCTGGCAAGTTTGAAGAATGACAAAGCGATTCATTATTAATTTCGTATTGAACGATAAGCGCCCGATAAATATTATGGGTCATGACAGGTTAGCGTGGACATTGTTGACAGCGTGAGTAGTGGCAGGGCATAGGAGCTACAGAACGGCACACACTCAAGTTTATAATAATAAGTTTTTAACACTAATGTACACGCATTGTTCAATGAGCATTTTCTCACAACAATATACGTACCGTGAACAATAATGTCCATACATTATGATGGGCTAAGTATATAGGATACATGTCACTAGTTTTATCCTATTGTATTTTGAGAAGCACCACAACCAATGCATTCTTCTTATTATTGGAACCCAGAGTTTTATGAATAAAATCAGAAACTTAGAACTGGAGGTTGTTCTAAGAACATAACTGCCAGACTGCACATTTTATTAGAGATAACTGGAGGTTGTCTGACAAGACCGTTTATAATGCTGGAGGCTTTATGTCGGCAGCGATCGGGAGGATCTGGGTCAGTTGCCTGCAGATTCTGGACGCAGTGAAGGCGACACCCACCAAATGATGCGCCCAATATTATTGAAAGTCATGCACCTACTGACACCATTTTCTGAGGTCTTGTTTTTAAAATATATTTACAGCTACGTAATGCAACGTCTCCCATATAAGCTATCTTAACATTTGAATTTCATCAGCTACATAGTAGCCGTAAAAATTTCTTTACAAGGAAATGAGTGTTAACGTAGGTTGCATTGACATTATAAATTCTTCTCTCTTTACTTAAAAACAAAAAATTCAAATGAATTGCAAGGTTTGAGTTTATCATAATCAAAGATTCTTATTCTTGCTGGCAAAAATAGTTTCGTTATCATGAATAATTAATGTACTTTATATTTATTCGGTTGGCTTAATGTATCGGTATTGTTTTTTAAAATAAAATTTACTCTTTTTCACTTCATGGTTTTAGGGATTCGTGTCCCGGTCGTGCCGTGATCTGGACTTTGACCAGCAGTATACGATGGCCGGATAGTTGAGTTACGTCGTAATATATTACGTCGGGAGGGGCGGGGGCGCCACGGTATGGGGGGCGGGTGGACCTCCGTGGAGTTCTGGTGCTCCATTGCTGACGCTGTTGCATTTCACGAGCACCGAGTGACAGCGGCTAGAAAGTTTGCGTTAAATCGAAATTATTGATATTATTTGATATCGACTTATAGGAACGTGGTAACTATACCATTGATGTAAGAAAAATTAATTAGCGTCATTTAGCTATGAATTGATAAATGAAGTGTTTCTTTGATAACACATAATTGCAATTCCTTAATTAAATAGTAATGATTTAATAATTATAAGAATAATGATAAAATAAAATTGGAATAAGATGAGATAGTTAGAATGAGATGAGATAATTAGAATAAGATACGAGATTAAATAAAACGCTTCTTCGAAAACAAAAAAAGCTCTACTTCTGGTAAATAGGGTAATTTTGATTATAAAATCAGCGTTACTCTGTAAACAAGAAATAACATCTTTTTAAAACATTCAGTTTTATAAAAATCATCAATGAATAATTAAATAATTAGTGTTGTGCTCACCGGTACTGAGTAATGCGGCCTGCGGGATGTTCACTGCACGACGTCTCTAGCGACGTCGCTGCGGGATGCTCACTGCACGATGTCTCCAGCGACGTCGCGTGTTCCACCGGCTTCCTGGCCAGCACGAATCCTCTCCGCGCTGTGCTCAGGCTTGACAACGAACACAGCTCTCTTGCTTCGGGATGTTGACGTTTGCTCTCACTATTTTTTGAAGATGTTTGGGCTTCAGAGAAGCGAAATGACGTTCGGTTCGAGAAATCAGGAACGTCGCCCGCGCGCCCGAACAGCGAACCAGGTTTGTGGCCCTTGCTGTAGGTGGCGCTGGAGTGCGCCAGGTGAGTGTGCGCAGTGCTGGACCGCAGCGTCAGCTGAACCTGGTGGGGAAAAATTTGAAGCGTTTTTAAGGGAAAGTTTTAAACATGGTGGGGAAAAATTTGAAACGTTTTTAGAAATATTCATGTTAAATCTTGTATAATGTTTTTAACATGTACCATAAAAACTTGAAGCACTTTTTGTCTCCAGCGACGTCGCGTGTTCCACCGGCTTCCTGGCCAGCACGAATCCTCTCCGCGCTGTGCTCAGGCTTGACAACGAACACAGCTCTCTTGCTTCGGGATGTTGATATCTGCTGTTACTATTTTTTGAAGATGTTTGGGCTTCAGAGAAGCGAAATGACGTTCGGTTCGAGAAATTAGGAACGTCGCCCGCGCGCCCGAACAGCGAACCAGGTTTGTGGCCCTTGCTGTAGGTGGCGCTGGAGTGCGCCAGGTGAGTGTGCGCGGTGCTGGACCGCAGCGTCAGCTGAACCTGGTGGGTAAAAATTTGAAGCGTTTTTAAGGGAAAGTTTTAAACATGGTGGGGAAAAATTTGAAACGTTTTTAGAAATATTCATATTAAATCTTGTATAATGTTTCTAACATGTACCATAAAAACTTGAAGCACTTTTTAGGGTAAGTTTTATTAAAAGTCATGTTACGTTTTTGTAACTTGTACCATTTGATTTGAAAACATCTTAGCATTAAGAAAACTACAACCAGTAAAATAATACTTTACAATAAACAAGAATATTTTGCTATCTCTATAGGATAAAGTGACGCAATTACTTCTGTTTCGATAACGTGACGCAATCGCTTTCGTTATGATAACGTGAAGCATTCGCTTCTGTTTTGATATCGTGATGCATTCGCTTCTGTTTTGATAACGTGAAGCAATCGCTTCTGTTATGATAACGTGAAAGAATCGCTTCTGTTTTGATAACGTGATGCAATCGCTTCTGTCATGATAACGTGATGCAATCGCTTCTGTTGTGATAACGTGAAACAATCTCTTCTGTTTTGATAACGTGATGCAATCGCTTCTGTTGTGATAACGTGATGCAATCGCTTCTGTTATGATAATGTGATGCAATCGCTTCTGTTATGATAACGTGATGCAATCGCTTCTGTTATGATAACGTGATGCAATCGCTTCTGTTTTGATAACGTGAAGCAATCGCTTCTGTTATAATAACGTGACGCAATCGCTTCTGTTATGATAACGTGAAACAATCGCTTCTGCTGTGATAACGTGATGCAATCGCTTCTGTTGTGATAACGTGACGCAATCGCTTCTGTCATGATAACGTGATGCAATCGCTTCTGTTATGATAACGTGACGCAATCGCTTCTGTTATGATAACGTGACGCAATCGCTTCTGTTGTGATAACGCGATGCAATCGCTTCTGTTTTGATAACGTGATGCAATCGCTTCTGTTTTGATAACGTGATGCAATCGCTGATACAATTGCTTCTGTTTTGATAACGCGATGCAATCGCTTCTGTTTTGATAAGGTGATGCAATCGCTTCTGTTACGATAACGTGATACAATCGCTTCTGCTATGATAACGCGATGCAATCGCTTTTGTTATGGTAACGTGAAGCAATCGCTTCTGAGAAACCTTTGTTGCAATTTATTTACATCTTAATTTACCTCAAATCATTATTTCCAAAAACGTAGTCCGCAAAGTTTTTGTTTATATGACACTAGTTTTTTATAATGTCATTAGTTTTAATTTAATCAAAATATTATTGGATTTTCCTTATGTTTGAAAGTGATTTACTTTTAATGCTTCTATTGAAATTGAAATAGATATTGGAATAGTTTAATAAGGATTCTGCTGTTAAAATAATATTTAATTTTTGAAAATATTTATTTTAAAGATTATTTTTTTTTGCGATATCTTTACAACGTGGTAAGCAAACCTCTTAATATCGGTAATCACATTCGAGTGATGTACTATTTGTACCAATATTTGTACTAATTGATACCAATATTTTAGTTAAAATTCCGCTCAAATTATTTTTTAGAATTTGAAATCAAATTTTTGCCATTACTTCTATATCGAAAAATATTTAAATCAAAATATAAATGTGAATATTTGCAGGCTTCGTTCAAATTGAACATTTATTCCCGCGGGAGCCGTTCTACGTTCGGCTGGTCGCGATGTCACGCGCACTTTGCGCCAAACTCTTGAATTTATTGGCCGTGTAATTCCGTAGCCACCTTCGCTTGATGTCGAACATATTCGAATTGCGTTCTTTGTAGATGGAAGCGGATTTTACTTACTATTTTCTGAATAGCGCCAGAAAATAGAGTATATGAATAAATTTTCAAATGAACATTACCAAACTCATATCTAATTAGATATAATTTGCAAATTTTAATTTTAAATCCATATCAAAGCGATCCAATATGAGCACAACTTCGAGTTGCTTTGAAGTAAAATCAAATTCCGTGGCATTATTTGAAAAATTCTGCTAATTCTCTACGCAAATGCGGGTTACTAACAACTTCTCGGTCAGAAACGCTGGAAATTAGGATACATCCGTCAACAGACATTGGAGATAAGTCCTCCTGGTGCACGCAGTGTGACACATTTAGTGTGCGTTTAGTGACACATTTCTGTGCGTAGCACTATGCCGAACCAATCAGTGCAAAATGTGTATCGATATTTAGACAATGTCACCAGCAATTTTCTGAGAGATAGCTGCGTCCCATCTCAGCGCCATAAAGGACTGCAGTCTGCAGACCAGCAGATCCGAGCCGCGGGTTTACTTCGCTCAAAAACTGAGCTCATTTGCTCAAAATTAGCGAAATTTTTGCGTTCAGGCTTGGCTTCCTGCTGCTCGGATCATTCTGACTCTAAAAAGCTGGAGTTCATCGGATCAAAAGTTAAACTTTTTGAGTGATGGTAACAAGTGTCACCTAAAAAGGCAAAGCTTTCTGATCGGAGCTAACTAGTCGAGCCACGAATAAAACTTGCTGGCTTTTTCTAGATTATGGCTGAAACGTTTGTTAAAATATCCAATGCGCCGAAAAAATAACATTTTCGAGGAACTGGTGAGTGCAACCTAAAATATTACACCGCTACAAATTGGAGAGTTTTATGCTGAATACGTGAATTTTTTCCCTTAAGTCAAGTGACTGGAAAAGAGATGCACTTATTACAGACTTTGTTGATGTGTCATTGACATAGGTTTCATTGAAAATTTTCAAGTAAATTAAAATACATTGAGGATATGCATATATTCACATCAATATTTTCAGATACGCGAGAACTTATTTATGGTCTGCCGTCCAAAAAATGTTCAATTTTTTACAACACTTCTCTTTAACTTCACTTCTTGTCTGTTTGTTTGTCTGTCTGCTACAAATCTTGTAATCGAAATTTAATACACTTCTACTTATCCTATCGGTCTGAAATATTGCACACTTGTGTAAAGTTGGAGACAATGCATGAATCAAATGTCAAAATAAATGATTTTAAAAATTAAATAAATTTTTTAATATTAAAAAAATTGAAAAAAATGATTTTGTCAGCTACAAATCTTATAACCGATATTTAACACACTTACCTGTCTAATTGATCTGAAATTTTGCAAACTGGTGTGAAGTCAGAGGCAATGCATGAATCAATTAATAGAATGAATAATTTTGAAAAAAATTATATATTAAAAAAAATTAATATATTAAAAAAATTGAAAAATTAATTTATTTTAATATTCGAAAATTAAATGAGAAACTCATTGTACATCTGTAAGATTGGAGACGCTGGATTCTTTGGAAGTGTTGTCTTTAAAAAGTAATTTTTAAACGTATATTATTACAACACTTCTCCTTAACTTCACTTCTTGTTGTTTGTTTGTCTGCCACAAATCTTATAATCAAAATTTAACACACTTCTACTTATCCTATCGATCTGAAATTTTGCACACTTGCGTAAAGTTGGAGACAATGCATGAATCAATTAACAAAATGAAAAACTTTAAAAAGTAAAAAAAAATTTCTTTTCAATATTAAAAAATTGAAAAAAAAATAATTTTGTCAGCTACAAATCTTATAATTGATATTTGTCACTTTTTTACATGTCCAATTGATCTGAAATTTTGAATACTTATGTGAAGTCGAAGACAATGCATGAATCAATTGACAGAATAAATAGTTTCGAAAAAAAATTTTATATATAAAAAATTTGAACAATTTATTTTTTATTATTCGAAAATATAATTAGAAATTTATTGTACATATGTAACATTGGAGACACTGGATTTTTTAGAAGTTTTGTCTTTAAAAGTAATTTTTAAGGGGGGAGGTCTACCTTCCGGAAAAACTTTTTTGTTTACAGACGGATCTTTCTGAAACTTCACACATATATGTAAAACCGCAAAAGAATCACATTTTGTTCATGTGATTTTTTTCGAAAAAATGCATAGAAAACGTGAAATTCATAGAAAACGGCCAAAAAGGGGGAACTGTAGAAATCCTACTCCTCCTAGAGTTTTATAGCTACAGCGATGAGACATATACCATTCGATTTGTAAAGACTATACCAATCGAGTAACGAAGCCCGATTTTTGATTTTTGTTATAGTTTTTTTACACGCATTTAAATTTTTTTTTTCATCAGATTTCCCCCTCCTTTCCCCCCATTTTGAATCCAAACTATACACGAATCTAAAAAAGGAGCTTCGTTACTCGATAGGTATGGTCTTTAAGAATCGAATGGTATATGTCTTATTGCTGTAGCTTCAAAACTCTAGGAGGAGTAGGATTTTTCGTGACAATAAGCTATGAAGTTTTCAGTAGAGTGCGACAAAGTCCCGCTCGCCTCGAAATAAGCACGCAATGTAGCATGGATACCAAACTACAGGCTTCTGTAGCTTGCTTCCACTCAAGGATGGTAGCAGCAACTTGCAGTACACCTCTCCGTACGAAGCGACGCGGGTAACTAAGCCTTGATGCCAGAAAACACCATATATCTAGTGCTGGCCAGCGAATTTCCTCCCATCTGATTACTGAAGGAACTCCCCCCACCGCCCCCTTTTAAAGAGCCGTCATGAACTTATAAATTCACGTACAGGGATCGCAGTGGTATCGTTGGATAGGGCAGAATGTCAGCTTTAAGATGAGACTAAACGAGTAACTAAAGCACAACTCAATCAGACACTATATTTAAAATGCTCAGCAGCTAATTACCTTGTATCTAATTAGTGAAGGAACTCCTCCACCCGCCCCCCTTTAAAGAGCCGTCAAGAACGTATAAATTCACGTACAGGGATCGCAGTGGTATCGTTGGATAGGGCAGCATGTCAGCTTTAAGATGAGACTAAAAACCGAAAATGCCAAATCCGAAAATTTTAGGGTAGACCTCCCCCTTAAACGTATATTATTCTCACTATTTTTGAGATATGCTCATAATATTTCTCGAAGTTTTCTATAAAAAAAGTTATAGACATTCTCATTGTTTTGATTTGTTATAAGAATTTAACATGAAAAGGATGCAAGTATCAAAATATTGTTCCACTCCTGTTCACGGATAAAACAACATCAATTGAACTTCTTGAACTTCTCCTAACTTCGCGGCATGATTGACTGATGCGCCCAAGTTTCAGATCTCGACTTCAAAACTGGTTTTGAAGTTCCACATCAAAGTTTAAGGAATACAGAATTTCATATTAGAATTTATTTAATGCATATGATTGTAAGAGCACCATATATAATAATATAGTATAATATGCTTGTATTTACCATTGGCACCAACAGATTCCTCATGAAATTTTGAAGCAAAACAATAACTAAATACAAAATGTAATTACAGACAAATACGGGTTATAAACAACATCTCCGAGACTTGAAGCTTGTGTCTTTCTCAAGGAGTCTTTAGCTGTCATGCGTTCAGTGGCCGCCAGTGGCTGTCAGTAACAGCAAGTGACTGTCATGGGAGCCACTGGGAGTTGAAGCGCTACAATTACTGAGAGCTTAAGGCTTATAATTAAGCCCACTCTGTCTGAGCAGCATTGAGGCATCATATCAGTGGAGGCGAGCGTGCATTGAGGCATCATATCAGTGGAGCAGAGCGTGCATTGAGGCATCATATCAGTGGAGCAGAGCGTGCATTGAGGCATCATATCAGTGGAGGCGAGCGTTCAAACAAGTGTCATAGAGAAGACGAACAGGCTAAAGCTAATCGCATCCCCGATTAATTTCAGGTTGCTCAATTTTGTGACATTATTTACTGTAACATCTCTTAGAGGGATGGAAAATTAAAAAAATATATTTTCTGGTGCTTGGACGTCTCATAATTATTTATTCACAATTATGCAGCTTTGGCCGCAGAAAATCATTATTATTTAAAAGTTGGCGGCTGTTATCCGAAAATGATACCCTTTTTGCGTTTGAATAATTGAGGGTTATATACCAGTAAATAGTTTATTTAAATTTTTTCGATACTTTCCGGCTTCAGGAAGTTATTTTTGCAGTGTGTAGAAAATATGCTCACCTGCGACAATTTCTCGCTAGGTTAGGTTTTTAAAAGTTATAAATAGACGATAATAAATATTGTAAAGTCTACAATACTTCGAATTACATTAATACTGCGTGGTAAACTACGCTCATTTTATGGAATATAGTCAAATTCATGGGAATAGAAAAGTATCCGAAACATAACTCTGGTACGGTAGAATACGTCTTGCACGTGTTAAACTTTGCATTCCTCAGAAAGCAAACGTATTCACAGTGAATAAAAATTGACAGTCTACAGTCTAAAATCAGGCTTCTTCTGCTTGCAGAAGTTGAAGATAACGTACACTAGACTTCACCTTAGGCATCTGATTGCAGAAGTTGAAGATGCCGTACACTAGGCCTCACCTTAGGCTTCTGCTTGCAGAAGTTGAAGATGCCGTACACTAGGTCTCACCTTAGGCGTCTTCTGCTTGCAGAAGGTGAAGATACCGTACACTAGGCCTCACCTTAGGCGTCTTCTGCTTGCAGAAGTTGAAGATGCCGTACACTAGGCCTCAGCGTAAGCTTCTGCTTGCAGAAGTTGAAGATGCCGTACACTAGGCCTCACCATGGGCTTCTTCTGTTGCGGATGTTGAAAATGCCGTACATTAGGCCTCACCTTGGGGTTCTGTTTGCAGAAGTTGAAGATGCCGTACACTAGGCCTCACCTTAGGCTTCTTCTTGCAGAAGTCGAAGATGTCGTACACTAGGCCTCACCTTAGGCTTCTTCTTGAAGAAGTTGAAGATGCCATACACTAGGCCTCATCTTGGGCTTCTCCTGGTTGCAGAAGTTGAAGATGCCGTACACTAGGCCTTTTAGGCTTCTGCTTGCAGATGTTGAAGATGCCGAACACTGGGCCTCACCTTAGGCTTCTGCTTGCAGAAATTGAAGATGCCGTACCCTAGGCCTCACCTTAGGCTTCTGCTTGCAGAAGTTGAAGATGCCGTACACTAGGCCTCACCTTAGGCTTCTGCTTGCAGAAGTTGAAGATGCTGTACACTAGACCTCACCTTAGGCTTCTGCTTGATGCAGAAGTTGAAGATGCCGTACACTAGGCCTCACCTTAGGCTTCTGCTTGCAGAAGTTGAAGATGCCGTACACTAGGCCTCACCTTAGGCTTCTACTTGCAGAAGTTGAAGATGCCGCACGCTAGGCCTCACCTTAGGTGTCTTCTGCTTGCAGAAGTTGAAGATGCCGTACACTAGGCCTAAACTTTGGCTTCTGCTTGCAGAAATTGAAGATGCCGTTCACTAGGCCTCACCTTGGGCTTCTTCTGTTTGCAGAAGTTGAAGATGCCGTACACTAGGTCTCACCTTAGGCGTCTTTTGCTTGCAGAAGGTGAAGATGCCGTACACTAGGCCTCACCTTAGGCGTCTTCTGCTTGCAGAAGTTGAAGATGCCGTACACTAGGCCTCAGCTTAGGCGTCTTCTGCTTGCAGAAGATGAAGATGCCGTCCACTAGGCCTCACCTTAGGCGTCTTCTGCTTGCATAAGTTGAAGATGATGTGCACTAGGCCTCACCTTAGGCGTCTTCTGCATGCAGAAGTTGAAGATGCCGTACACTAGGCCTCACCTTGGGCTTCTTCTGTTTGCGGATGTTGAAGATGCCGTACATTAGGCCTCACCTTGGGTTTCTGTTTGCAGAAGTTGAAGATGCTGTACACTAGGCCTCATCTTAGGCTTCTGCTTGAAGAAGTTGAAGATGCCGTACACTAGGCCTCACCTTGGGCTTCTTCTGTTTGCAGAAGTTGAAGATGCCGTACACTAGGCCTCACCTTAGGCTTCTGCTTGCAGATGTTGAAGATGCCGAACACTAGGCCTCACCTTAGGCTTCTGCTTGCAGAAATTGAAGATGCCGTACACTAGGCCTCACCTTGGGCTTCTGCTTGCAGAAGTTGAAGATGCCGTACACTAGGCTTCACCTTAGGCTTCTGCTTGCAGAAGTTGAAAATGCCGTACATTAGGCCCCACCTTGGGCTTCTTCTTTTTGCAGAAGTTGAAGATGCCGTACACTAGACCTCATCTTAGGCGTCTTCTGCTTGCAGAAGGTGAAGATGCCGTGCACTAGGCCTCACCTTAGGCTTCTGCTTCCAGAAGTTTAAAATGCCGTACATTAGGCCTCACCTTGGGCTTCTTCTGTTTGTAGAAGTTGAAGATGCCGTACCCTAGGCCTCACCTTAGGCTCCTGCTTGCAGAAGTTGAAGATGCCGTACACTAGGCCTCACCTTAAGCGTCTTCTGCTTGCAGAAGTCGAAGAGGCCGTACACTAGCTAGGCCTCACCTTAGGCTTCTTCTGCTTGCAGAAGTTGAAGATGCCGTACACTAGGCCTTACCTTAGGCTTCTTCTGCTTGCAGAAGTTGAAGATGCCGTACACTAGGGGGTTGGCGCACGAGTTTGCACAGGCGAATACGAACAAAGTCTTCTGTACGCGCTGGTCCAGTCTTTTTGCCGCTTCGGGAGCGAAGCAAAACCTAATCCCACGAAATTTTACATATACATTTATTAAAATTAAAAATATACTTTTAATATAAATTTCATCACACAATAATCATCCACGAAATTTTGAGAGCAAAATCTACTTACAAAAAAAACAATTACTAAACTCAATAAAATTTTCTCCAGAAATACATTGCGAAAACGGAACGTTTAGTGCGAATAAAATTTTTCTGGCTGCAATTGGTGTAATGAATTTTCAACCCAATACTCCTTGTAAATACCATTGTTATGCTCTTATACCAAGTCCTCCCTCCAGTTGCACGAACTACAAAAAGTCTGAAGACAGAAACCTGGTCCCACGTCATACCTACTGCCTAATGATTCATTCCCAGATATAATAATGGCACAACTCTTCAACTAATGAATATTCATTCACTTGTTCACGTAGTTCATGTTCAAATATTCAAATATTAGATTCGAATTCGACTATTTTATGGAAGTCCAGAATAGAATTCGCCATGCTCTAAAGCATTGTTAATTTACAAAAAATAATCTACCCAGATGATATAACTAAAATTGAGACAACCAAATATTGGGATAGTTCGCACTCTAACTAGGCTAAATAAGGCATGTTACCATCCAGCCCTGCACCACACCGCACCACCACCCAGCACCGCACCTTACTTCACCACCACCCATCATCGCACCACACCGTAAAACCACCCAGCACAACACTGCACTACCACCCATTACCGCACCATCACCCATCATCGCGCCACACCGCACCACCATCCATTACCGCACCACAAGCTGATGATGACGTATGGTGTCCAGCAGATGAAGAAGGCAGCGACGATGCTGACCGTCATCTTGATGGTGCGCGCCTTCGCCTTGCCGAGGTAGCCGATACCGGATCTCCTGATCACGCTCTCTGGCCGCAGTGAATTAAAGCAACGTGTTATGTAGTGTTCTGAGATGCAATAAATTAGGATGCAAGTGTTATGTGGTCTTTTGAGGCGCAATAAATGTAGTGTAGGGTTCTGACGCGCAATGTTATGCATTGTTCTTAGGATGAAAGTGTTATGTGGTCTTCTGAGGCGCAATAAATGTAGTGTAGGGTTCTGACGCACAATGTTATGCATTGTTTCGGACCATTAATTTGTATCCGGACCATCAAATTGTGTTCAGACCATCACATTTTCGAAGATGCAAATTTATTTGAATTTCAATCAGTTGGAGTATTCTCATTCCAGTATTACTGAATGGGCAACCACATAATAAGTTTTATTTATTCTTTTGTACTAGCTTAAAGTCATGGAAAAATTAATAATGGGCCGAAAAGGCCCATTATTCATTATTAATTGTGAATAAGGCCCATTATTCACAATTAAAAATGCCGTAGGTGCTCAAGATAAAAATCAGCATTAAGCAGATAAGGATAAAATCAGGCAGTTAAGGTTCATTACATGCATATATTGAGTAAAATTATAATCAAATAGTCGTGCGTTCACGATAAGAATCAGCATTAAAGCAGATAAGGACCAAGTAGGGCAGTTAAGGCTCATTGCTCTGCTTTATCATCACGCATCTTTTCTGCGGACGGAAATTCAATGACGCTAAAGTCCCCCATGAAAAATTTCTTTCTTAATTAGATTTTTTGTCAGATTCTATCACCCAGGTTTTCGTGAACTAAGTCAGTTGGTCTATTCTGTATACGAGTTCAATATTTTTATGGTGAATAAATGGCACTTTGTGCAAAAATCCCGTAGAACAGAGTCGGTTTTTTTGCAATTCATTGAGCTAAATTTTATTTCGGCACTTCTTCAGCTATTTTGCAAAGGATAAACCCTCCAACTTTTCGGTAGCGTGAGAAGCAGTTAATTTTTAGAGACCTTCCAGAATTTAAATTCGGACTCGACTGAAATGTTTTCTTACCTCCGCTGCGAATTGTAGGGCTACAATTCAAACGAAACGAATTTTTTTGTAAGTGAAGCTTTGAATTGAAATTTCTGGTATGGGGTTAAAAGTTGATTTGCATTTAGACTATGTTGAACTTGATCCAATTCGAAGGGAGCATTTGGTAGTGAGTATATATACATGTATGGCAAGCGTGTGCACAGCCTCTAACAAAAGTGCAGCATTGCCGGCATGTCAAGTTTTTGGGTAATACTTTGATTAGGTGCATCCAAAATAAGGGTGTTTCAGAAATCCGTTTTTGGCGGTCGGCATCGAAAAACCGATTTTTTCCGATTTTTTTTTATATATTTTCTATAGAAAACGACAATGGGGGACCCGTGGGAAACTGGGGGTTTTAGGGGAGGGACACGCCCGAGGCTCTAATTCGTCAGAAAAATCGGGCAAAAATCGGCAAAATCGGCGAAAAATGCACTTAATCTAAAGTAATACCACCTAACCTAACCTAACCTAACCTAACCTAACCTAACCTAACCTAAACTAACCGAACCTAGCGCGATTTTTGGGTTTTACATAGGTAGTCATTCCCAGATCGATATAGATAATTTCCAGTAAAAAAAATTCGATTTTTTCCAATTTTTCACCGATTTTGCCAATTTTTGCCCGTTTTTTTTGACGAATTAGAGCCTCGGGCGTGCCCCTCCCCCCTAAAACCCCCGGTTCCTCACGGGTTCCCCATTGTCGTTTTCTATAGAAAATATATAAAAAATCGGAAAAAATCATTTTTCCGATGCCGACCGCTAAAAACGGATTTAATATTCTTAATCTACACCCCAAAAAACGAATAATTAAAAAAACACCCATTATTTTGGATGCACTTAATCTAAAGTAATACCAGTTTTTGTATTGAATTTGTAGCACGTGAAGTTTTTGTATAGAATTTGTAGCATGTGGAGTTTTTGTACTGAATTTGTAGCATGTGAAGTTTTTGTATTGAATTTGTAGCATGTGAACTTTTGGATTGAATTTGTAGCATGTGAAGATTTTGTATTGAATTTGCAGCATGTGAAGTTCTTGTATTGAATTTGAAGCATGTGAAGTTTTTGTATTGAATGTGTAGAATGTGAAGATTTTGTATTGAATTTGTAGCATGTGAAGTTTTTGTATTGAATGTGTAGAATGTGAAGATTTTGTATTGAATTTGCAGCATGTGAAGTTCTTGTATTGAATTTGATGCATGTGAAGTTTTTGTATTGAATTTGCAGCATGTGAAGCTTTTGTATTGAATTTGTAGCATGTGAAGATTTTGAATTTGCAGCATGTGACGTTTTTGTATTGAATATGACTTCAATACGAATTGTGGACAAAACTTATTTGTATTCAAATTTCTGAAGTACTTTGTGCAAATTTGTTATTTCGCATAAATTTTAAGAATGTTCCTAAAATTTTTCACTTAAGCACCAGCCAGAAAGTTATCAATAAAAAACTGATATTCCTCACCGCAATTGTTGTTAATAAAAATTCTCATTTTATCAAAGCAAGCAAGGTGAGTCGATCAAAACCCAAACCTTATGAAATATATCCACTTAGCCTAATTTTAACTGCCCCCTCGCCCCCCAAATTGCAGAAAATGCGCTTATTATTATTATTATTTGAAAATAGGCGCGGCTTCCTGCGTAGCGGACGTTTTTTGAGCTTTTCTGTGATATTAAGGAGGGATTTATCTGCAATTATGATGGACTTAGTGTCTCAACTTATGTACTTAATGTGTCCAAATTTTTGGAATACATAACGTTTGAAATTACTTAATTTTAAAATTTTATGTACCATTTCGGTAGCCCATGATTGTCGTAGTTTGCGGCAAATCAATGAAATCAGTGGCTTATCCATGTCTGAATAACGATGCAGTTTTTGCAATTAAAGCGGTCATATGGCCCAGTTTAGCCATGTATAAGGGATTATCAGTTCGGCGTTTGTTCTCTGCTCGCACTGTTAGCGAAAAAGATGCGTCGCTATTTGGACAACTTGACCCATTCATTTTTCGATGCCTGTCACCTAGTTTCCTAAATGGGTTCTTCTTTCTTGAAATATACCTGAATGACTTATAGTTCGATTTGAATTTTTTTTAGTCTCTCGTGATAGATTCCAACGATTTAAGGGGAGCGTCTGGTCAAAATTTTTGAAATTTGGCTTTTCCGGTTTTTAATCTCGTCTTAAAGCAGACATTCTGCTCTATTCAACGGTACCAAAATCATTCCGGTAAGTTTATTTATGCGTTCACGACAGATCGCGAAAGGGTGGGGGGTGGTGGAGTTCTTTCACATTTAGGATAGGCGAAAATTCCCGGTTGCATACTTAAATAGCTAGTCCACATACGATGTGCTTCAGTTACCCGCCTGCAGTTGTACGGGAGGGTTTGCGTGTCGTCGTTCACACCATCCTTGACAGGAATTGAGCTCCAGTATCGCCTAGTCTTGCATTCTTGCCACCTTGAACGCTTATTTCGAGGCGCCCGGGACTTTGTCAGGCTCTACTGAACAGTTAACTTATTGTCACTGCAAACCTATCTCCTCCTACAGTTTTGAAGCTACATCAATGAGACATATACCATTCGATTCGCAATTGAATTATCTAGAGATTCGTCGTAGCTTTTTTCCTATTTCGTTATAGTTTTGAAAATATTTTTAAAAAAGGGGGTAGAAAAAGGGGGAAATGGAGAAATTTTCGAAAATTTTGCGAAAAATACTCCCCCATCCACAAAAATTCGAAATTCGAAAAAAAGCTACGACGAATCGATAGATATGGTCCTTACGCATCGAATGATATGCGTCTCAATGTTGTAGCTTCGAAATCCTAGGGGGAGATAGTTTTCTACGGTACCCCCTTTTTTCCGTTTTCTAAGAATTTCACGTTTTCTTTCATTTTTTCGAAAAATTTACACGAACAAAAAAGTCTTAGAATTCTGTTTTACATATGAGTACCAAGTTTCAAAACGATCTGTCTGTAAACAAAAAAGTTTTTCCAGCACCCAGACGCTCCCTTTGAATTATTCTACCGCTGTATCAGCGGTGCAAACTAATCCACGTGCAATTAATACTGCTCGCTTAATTTTCAAGCACTGATGCGGGAATAATTAAATTAGATTTAAGATTTAAACTCCTATTACAGCTAATAAAAACTATGTCAGTTATTCGATAAAATTGTAAAATAATTCACGTAGCAGGACTCACCATCAGCGGTGAGTTTAGTCTTGCGGACGATAGTGATGACGATGGCACCGTAGGACATGACGATGATGGTGATGGGTGCCACGTATAACATCGTCAGACAGAAGAGGTTGTACACCATCTCATGACGAAGGGACGGGAAGGAGCCGAACGTCACGCACTGACGGTAGTGCCGGTGCACCTCGTGGCTGTCCACGTGGAAGATCAACATCTGCACCACAACACAAAAATAATTTAATCTATTGATCTATAAATATTTTTACAATAAATAAACATTTAAATAATGTGTGGATATTCATTTCTTTAATTTTGCGTTCTTATTTGTCGATGGGAAACTTCAAGAAGAATTCATAAGGAAAATTGAATTGTTACGTCCTTCGTATTTTTGATTACAGTCACTTACAGGAAATTTTGAAAGTTACGAAGTAAAGTTATAAATTAACACTTTTTAAAGCGTTACTTTCTCTAGGGCGTTAAAAAATAGTTTTGGTTATAAAGCTATTACCGGTTCCGTTTTATAGTCTAATGAAAGCATCTGACGATGTTTAGAATCGAGAATTTTTTGCCAATTGGACTGGCGTTGTAAAGTAGTAAAGTCAGGACTCTATCCAATATGATAGACTCCTGACATTTTGCGCTAGTTTAAAAAAAATCAATAAATTATTCCAAAAATTACAAGTAAACTTATTCATGTTCTCCGACTAAATTCTCAATTGCCCTTGTATTGCCCATCCTAAATTACCCATGCAATTGTCCATCCTAAATTGCCCATGCAATTGCTCATCCTAAATTACCCATTATAAATTCCCCATGCAATTATCCATCCTAAATTACCCATGCAATTACCCATACTAAACTACCCATGCAATAACCCTTCCTAAATTGCCCATGCAAGAAGTGCAAAAGTTGCCAGTTTTGCCCCGTCTGTAAGAGGCCCCCGACCTGTGGCACGGAGCAGCTGCAGGCTAAGAGCCACGAATAATTTCCCATGCAATAACCCTTCCTAAATTGCCCATGCAAGAAGTGCAAAAGTTGCCAGTTTTGCCCCGCCTGAAAGTGGCCCCCGACCTGTGGCACGGAGCAGCTGCAGGCTAAGAGCCACGAATAATTTCCCATGCAATAACCCTTCCTAAATTGCCCATGCAAGAAGTGCAAAAGTTGCCAGTTTTGCCCCGCCTGAAAGTGGCCCCCGACCTGTGGCACGGAGCAGCTGCAGGCTAAGAGCCACGAATAATTTCCCATGCAATAACCCTTCCTAAATTGCCCATGCAAGAAGTGCAAAAGTTGCCAGTTTTGCCCCGCCTGAAAGTGGCCCCCGACCTGTGGCACGGAGCAGCTGCAGGCTAAGAGCCACGAATAATTTCCCATGCAATAACCCTTCCTAAATTGCCCATGCAAGAAGTGCAAAAGTTGCCAGTTTTGCCCCGCCTGAAAGTGGCCCCCGACCTGTGGCACGGAGCAGCTGCAGGCTAAGAGCCACGAATAATTTCCCATGCAATAACCCTTCCTAAATTGCCCATGCAAGAAGTGCAAAAGTTGCCAGTTTTGCCCCGCCTGAAAGTGGCCCCCGACCTGTGGCACGGAGCAGCTGCAGGCTAAGAGCCACGAATAATTTCCCATGCAATAACCCTTCCTAAATTGCCCATGCAAGAAGTGCAAAAGTTGCCAGTTTTGCCCCGCCTGAAAGTGGCCCCCGACCTGTGGCACGGAGCAGCTGCAGGCTAAGAGCCACGCCACGGCCAGCATGAGCTGGCCTCGCCGGGACGCTGCCCTCAGGCTCAGTGGGTACACAACCGCGAAGAATCTTAAGAGCATAGAACAAAAGTATCACTGTACTATGCTATCACAATTATTATCAATATTATTCTATCCAGATTATTATCAATAAAGCACTGCAGACCAATCCAGTTAAGAAAATAAAATTAGAGCACTGCTTATGGTTATTTGCGATATAAACTGAGTTCTATCGGAAGTTCAGAAAGTTAATGGTGAGTTGAAATCTTCTTAAATGAGTATTTTGTACAAAAGACATTGTAATCGCCATGGAAAATGTGTCACTCATGTGCCATATAGCTGCGTCACTGCAATGTCACTTCACCCACTAGCTGCAGCTTTACCTTACTGGAAGTGTCCAGATCGCATTCCTTTGCAATCTTTACGGTGGAATATCATCACAATTGTCTACAATTAAACCTGCCTGAGCCCCACAAAAGTGCTCACAAGGCGGTGTTCGTGGGCCCACGACAGTAAATTTGCCAACACCGCGCCCATATAATCGAAACTCGCTCAGGTGCACGTAGCAGCTGAAGCAAACGTAGCAGCCGATTTCTCATCAGTGATTGGATGGTTTAGCTTGAAAAGCCGTCAGTGATTGGCTGGCAGAGTTATGAACTAGTAACTATTGCTGATTGTACGGCACCATGTAAGGTGCACCCCTTAACGATAGCCGCCCCCGGATCCAAATTTGCGTGCTCGAAGAAACTGTTACAGGCCGCAGTGAGTCGCAAGAGTTGGCTAAGTTGTAGCACTGGTTGAGTGTGAATAGAACTCGACGAATTAACAGCTCACTGAGTGCACATTAATTTGGGTTTTCAACTATTAAGTTATCTGAACATTACATTTACATATACAAAGTCTATATATTTCTATAAGTCTTTGTCTATATTTGTATATAAGTCTATATAATCTATATTTCTTCTATAAGTCTTTGGTGTTGTGAGCGTGCGTGCTGTTGCATAGCGTGATCGTGGCAGGCATTACAATAGAATTCCATTTGTGTCTCGTGTGCTTCTTTTGGTTCCACCTCCCACGTAGAGATTTTCAGTTGAGGAGAAATGCTTAGATCCATTCAACTTTCAAATAATAGGAAAGGCATTCTTGGTCAATGGATATTGCTGTAATGCCCTAATGGACGGCGTCTAGGAGACGTTACGTGCCATCATAATATAATGGGTTACCTGTCAATGGAGGCGTTACGTGCCATTATAATATAATGCGTTACCTGTCAAT